AGAAGATATGGCAATAATAAATAAATATGCACTTAGAGTTTCAAGTATGTGAAGCAAAAACTGATAGAACTGAAAAGAGAAAGAGACAAATCTATTCCAATTATAGTTGGAGATTTCAGTAATCCTCTCTCAATTGCTAGAACAGCAAGATAAAATCATCAAGGATATAGAAGAACTCAACAATACCACGAACCAATAGGGTCCAATTGACATTTCTAGAATACTCCACCCAACAACAGCAAATAGAAATTCTTTTGAAGTGGATAGAACATATAATAAAATGGACCACATCCAGGTTCATAAAGAAAACCTCAACAAACTTAAAAGGATTGAAATCATATAGAGTGTCATCTTGGAGAATAATTGAACCAACTTGAAATCAATTGGAGAGAGAGAACAGTTCTAATAATCCATGGGTTTTAGATAATCTAAATAATTGGTGTGTCAGTTCTAAATAATCCATGAGTCAAGGGAAAATCTCAAGGGAAATTTTAAAAAATACATTGAAATGAAAGAAAATGAAAATGCATCATACCAAAATTTGTGAGACATGGCTAAAGCAGTTCTGAGATGGAAATTTATAGCATTAAATGTATACATTAGAAAGAAGAAAAGTCTTAAATCAGTAATCAAGTCTTCCACTCAAAAACCTAGAACAAGAAGAGCAAAATGACCTCAGAGCAAGCAGAAGAAAGGAAATAAAGATAAAGACAGATATCAAGGAAATTGAAACCAGAAAAAAATAGAGGAACATCAAAGAAGCAATAGTTGTTCTTTTAAAAGACTGATAAAATTAACAGTATGTGCCAGAAAAAAAGGGAAGAAGAAACAAATTACCAATATCATATGAAAAAGGTGTTGTCAACCACTGATCTCAGGGGTATTAAAAGGAAACAAAGGAATAGTTTGAGCAACTCTGTGCTCACAAATTTGATAACTTAGATAAAATGGTACAATTCCTTGAAAGACACAAACTCCCAAAACTCACACAAGGAGAAGTAGATTATCTGAATAGGTCTATATATTAAAAAAATTGAATTAATATTTAATAACCTTCCAAAAAACTCTGCATCAGGTGCAGGTGAATTATACCAAACATTTAAGGAAGAAATGATACCAATTCTCCACAATCTATTCCAGAAAATGTAAGTAGTGTAAACACTCAATAACTTATTCCATGCGGCCAACATTACCTTAATAACAAAACCAGATAAAGTCATTACAGAAAGTAAAATTACAGACCAGTATTTCTCATGAACATAGATGCAAAAATTCTCCACAAAATATTAGCAAATTGAATTCAATAATATATAAAAAGAATTATATACAAAGACAAAGTGAGACTTATTCCAAGTATGCAAAAATGGTTCAACATTTGAAAATCAATTAATGTAATCTGCCGCATGAAAATGCTAAAGAAGAAAAATCATATCAATTGATGCAGAAACAGCATTTGACAACATCCAGTGCCTATTTGTGATTTAAAAAAAAAAACCAACTAGAAATAGAGAGGAGGGTCTGGCCTGGTGGCGAAGCAGTTAGGTTCACAAGCTCTGCTTTGGGGGCCTGGTTTGGATCCTGAGCAGGGACCTAGCACTGCTCATCAGGCCATGCTGTGGCAGGTGTCCACCATATAAAACGGAGAAAGATGGACACAGATGTTAGCTCAGGGCCACTCTTCCTCAGAAAAAAGAGGACGATTGGTGGCAGATGTTAGGTCGGGGCTAATCTTCCTCAAAAAAAAAAAAAAAAAAAGAATAGAGGGGGACTTCCTTCAAAATGATAAAGAACATATACCAAAAAAACCCTACAGCTAACAGTATACTTACTGGTGAAATATTGAATACATTCCTCTTATGACCAGGCACACAGCAAGAATCTCCATTATCACCACTGTTATTCAACACAGAGCAAGAAGGTTTAGTGCAATAAGAGAAGAAGAGGAAATTAAAGTCATACAGAACTAAAAAGAAAACCATCCCTATTGGCAGATAACATGATTATATACTTAGAAAATCTCAAGAATGTATGAAAAACTCCTAAACCACTGAGTTCAGCAAGTTTGCCGAATATAGGATCAACACACAAAGCTCAATTGTATTTCTATATACTAACAATGAACACATGGACACTAAAATTGTAATACAATACTATTTACAGTGACTCAAAAAAAAAAAAAGAAAATACGTGTAAGTCTGAATGCTGAAGAAAGAAAACAAAGAGGATCTACATAAGTGGAGAGATATACCATGTTCATGGATTGGAAGACTCAATATAGTAAAGATGACAATTTCCCCCAAATTAACATACAAGTTTATTGCAATTCCTACCAAAATCTCAGCAAGTCTTTTTGTAAATACAAACAAAATTATTGTAAAATTTATATAGAAAGGCACAAGAACCAAAATAGCTAAAATGATTTGAAAAACAAAGTATATGGAATCAGTCTACTTAACTTAAGACTGTATATAACTAGTACAGTAATCAAGAGATGTGGTATTGGTGGAGGATAGACACATAGAGCAATGGAGCAGACTGGAGAACTGAGAAACAAATATGCCCAACTGATTTTTGCCAAAGGTAGGAAAGCATTCAATGGAGGATAGATGTGCTTTTCAACAAATAATGCTGGAGCAACTGGAAATCCATAGATTAAAAACAAAAGCAAAAGCCTTGATCTAAGTGTCATATCTTATACAAAAATTAACTCAAAATAGATCACAGACTAAAATGTAAAGCTTAAAACTATAAAGCTTTTAGAACAAACATAGGATTAAATATTAGCATTTAAGGACAAGGGGTTCTTAGACTTGACACCAAAAGCATAATCCATAAAGGGAAAATTTGCTAAATTGGACTTCATCAAAATTAAAAAGTTTTGCTCAGTGAAATACCCTGTTAAAAGGATGAAGACACAAGCTACGGAACAGAAGAAAATATTTGCAAACCATATATCAAGGGACTAGTATCTAGAATATATAAGGAATTTGCAAACCTCAAATGTAAAAACTCAAACAATCCAATTAGAACTTGGGCAAAGGACATGAAGAGACATTTCACCAAAGACATACTGATGGCAAGTGAGCACATAAAATGGTGCTTAACATCATTAGCCATTAGAGAAGTGCAAATTAAAACCACAGTAAAATATCACAACTATCAGAAAAGCTAAAACAAAAGGAGTGACAACACGAAATGACGTGAGGATGTAGAGAAATGGGACACTAATACATTCTGATGGGAATGTAAAATGTTACAGCTATATAGAAAGCACTTGGTAGTTTATTTAAAAACTAAGCATACAACTACTACATGACCCAGCTGTTGTACTTTTAGGCATTTATCCCAGAGAGATGAAGACACTCTATGTTTACACAAAAACCTGTACAGGAATGTTGAGAGCACCTTTGTTTGTAATAGCCAAAAACTGGATACAACCCTCTGAGAATACGACTCAGGAATAAAAAGAAATGTATCATTGATACGTGATTCTCCAGAGAATTATGAATGGAAAAAGCTAGTCTGAAAAGGTTACACACTGTATGATTCCATTTCTATAATATTCTTGACATGGCAAAATTACCGAAGTAGAGAACAGAGCCCTGGTTGCTAGGAGTTAATGAGAAGATGGGGGTGAGAGGGAAGTAGGTATGTTGATAAAATGGATTCTTGTAGTGACGGAAATGTTCTGTATCTTGACTCTTATCAATGTAAATATTCTAGTTGTAACATTGTACTATCATTCTGCAAAATGTTACTAATCATGCAAAGTTGGTAAAGAATAAATGGGGTGTCTCTGTATTATTTCTTACAATGCATGTGCATCTACAATTATATTAAAATAAAATTTAATTTTAAAAAATCAAAAGAAGAATATTTTGTGATATGGAAAAATTATGTTGAATTCAAATTTCAGCGTCCATAAATCAAGTTTTATTGAAACAACAACCAAAAAAAGTTGGTCCCGAATTAAGGAAACCTATCTTAAGGTCAGTTGATTAGCAACATTTATTCTATCTGCAACCTTAATTTCCCCTTGCTATGTAACAAAACATATTCACAGGTTCTGGGGGTTAGGAGTAGACATCTTTGGGGGATCATTATTCTGCCTACTACCGGTAGTATACTATAAACACCTGTCAATCACTCCATAGTGGTGCATCAAGAAAATTATTTCTCATTTGTTTTTACAGCTGCCTAGTATTCTACCCAGTAGAATTTTATAATTAGTCTAATTTTACAACAGAATGTGTTGATACTTTTATTATAGAACCTCTTTATTGATTCTTTTTAGCCAAGAACAGCATATGGCTTTCTATTTGCTAAGTTTACACTGGCCTTTCAAGAGTTTTCTTTTTAAAGTTTTCTCCATATAGGTTTTGCACATTTCTTCTTAAATTTATTCCTAATAATTTTGGTTGTTGCTATTGTAAATACAGTCTTCAGCTTTATAACTTTATCACTGGTCATTTGCATATATGAAGGCTGATTTTAGTATGTTAATTTTATATCTCTACTTTACTAAATGATCTTTTTTACGTAGTTTTCCCACTGAACTCCGTGTTTTCAGATAGATAATCATACCAACGCATAAAAGAGAACATGAGAACTATTGAAGGTGAAAAAGGAGGCGGAAACCACCATGTTGCCCCTTGATAAGTGTATGTACAAGATCTTCGTCCCTTGATCGTCGTGAAGCGTTGCTGAGTTGGGAAGGACTTGGGGAGCATCCCTTTGAGGCACCTCGAATCTCAAAGGTGCAGAAACCCAAATAAAAGTGAGAGTGAGGAAGCATGGGATTTCCCTATTTCAGATCGACTTGCGAAGCCTCGACTACTCATCGGGTCGGGGGAAGCGGAGATAGGCACAGAAGAGGAGAAGCAGAAGACTGTTCCGTGGAACCGCCGGCCTGACACTCCTCAGCGGTCCTCTCGCGGGAGCGGCGCGCGGGAGCGGGGGTAACTACCGAGTTGAGAGCCCCTCCCTCCCCCTTCCTAGAGCAGCGCCGGAAGTGCGCCCGCGCCGACCCGGCGAGCCGGTCTTGTTTCGGCCTTTGTGGGTCGTTCTTGTTAGGTCCTGGCTTCCGAAGGTGTTGGAGGCCTCAGCCCGGAGCCCCGGGAGGAGGGAATCCTCTGCTGGCTCCGGGGGCCGCGGGTGAGCGAGCCTGTGCTCCGGACGCTGGGCGACGGGATATTAGGGCGTTCTGGCGGCCTGGGGCCCTCGGGCCGGCCCAGGCGGGAGCAGGGCGCCCTGCGGTCCTCCCCGCCCAGGTGGGTCCGCGGGAAGCTCCCAACACAGAAGCCATCCCCCGACCCTTGGGAGGGTGGGTCGGAGCCCGGGGCTGAGGGGTCCGCCCTCGGTCTCTGCGGAGTCCGGCTGTGCCTGGGGCCGCGAACCCTTCTCGCTTGTGCGCCTCCCGACATTTCTGGACGCTCCTGCGTCTCAGACGCCGACCGGCGGCCTAGGGCCCCTTTCCTGGGCTTGCCTCCCTTCAGATTTAGAATCACAGAATGTGAGGGTAGAAGAGGGCCTTAAAGACCAACATTTCCAGCCTTTTCACTTTGTAAATGATGAGGAGCGGAGAGATAAGTCCCAGAGGGAATAAATTCATGTGACTTTGCTGTTTTATGACTTCATGGCTTTCACCAGACATCTGGGCATTTAAAAAATAAAGCAGCTAATCGAGGATGTCTCAATGTTTTATTATTATTATTTACTCTAAATGTTGGATTTATTCCATTTAGTTGTCATTTATTCTAGAACTAAATGGAAATGTTCTTTCCAAGTCTTACTCTTTCTTCATAAAGTCCTGAAATAACTTAGCACTTTTTACCTAATCTTTCTCTTTAGTCTATTCTTAAGTCTTTTTTAATCAAAGTATTTCCCTGAGTATAGTAAATTAACCTGGAGACGTGTTTCAAAGCACATATTTAAATTCTTAGAATTTGTGATTTTTGACTATGGTATTATTTGTGTTAATAATGATGGCTTCTTCCTCAGATCCACCCAGGAAGAAACTTTCCACTGGAGATCTTGCTTGAAGCACTGACACAGCTTTTGCAAGGCTATGATGGCATCTACTTGGGCTATCCAGGCCCACAGGAACCAGGATGAACTTTTGGAAGTAAAGATAGAGGAGGAGGAGCAGAAGGAGGAGAATTATAAGTATACCACGAGACAGGATCAGAAGCTGCAGAAGAACAACACCCATAGCAGAGAGGTCTTTCGACAGTACTTCAGGCAGTTCTGCTACCAGGAAACATCTGGACCCCGTGAGGCTTTGAGTCGACTCCGGGAACTTTGCCATCAGTGGCTGAGGCCGGAGACCCACACCAAAGAGCAGATCCTGGAGCTGCTGGTGCTGGAACAATTCTTGACGATCCTGCCTGAGGAGCTGCAAGCCTGGGTGCAGGAACAGCATCCAGAGAGTGGGGAAGAGGTGGTGACTGTGCTGGAGGATTTAGAGAGAGAGTTGGACGAGCCAGGATATCAGGTGAGAAGATAGATGTGGTTTCTGTTGGAGAAACGATGAATTATGGATTTCTAGGCCAGAGTGAAGTACAGCATTAGTTCACAAAGTGTGATCTTGACACTGGTGCATCAGAAAAGGGCCTGAGTGTCATGAAAAATTGATTAATGTAGTCCTAATTTATTTATACCTTTTCTGTGGAAGGATTATGTATTTCTGCACTAAGCTACAAAGTTCTCTTTGATAAAATGCTGCTCAGAAACATTAGAAACAGAAGATTTAGAAACAAGTCTTCTAGGACAGAGAGAAAATTTTGGAGAGATGATGGTAACAGAATGGGCAGCAGCCTCTTGAAAGGGGCATCACTTCTGTTGTTCAATACAAATTAAGAAATAAGGTTTTGCGGATATATCCACTGCCCTGTCTCCATTAAAGGATTAAAAGATGGAGAAATTAATTACCATCTCAAAGGAATGGGATATAGGAGCAGAGTAGAAAGTTAGGAGGGAGGGCCAGGGCAGGGGACCCATGTTTCTTTGAGTAGTAGAAAGCCAAGTTAGGTTGGAAAGGTGAGTTGTGACAAGAGTTAAGAACAGAGAGTCCAGGACCTTGAATATCAAGCCCTGGAGTTTAGATTTAATTCTGAAGGACAGAGACTCCTAACCTTTTCTTTTTGAGTCTAGATGAGCTTTACTAACCCCAAGATGTAAAAGAGAACCAAATTATGTAGGACCTTTTTGTTTTGTTTTAACATTGATAAAAGGCAGTGGCTCTCAGCCATTGGCAATTTTGTGCCCCAGAGAGCATTTGGCAGCATCTTGGGACATTTTTGGTTGTCATAAGGGGGCATCTAGCAGCGAAAGGGCAGGGATGCTGCTGAACATCTTAGAATGCATAGGACAGCCTCATACAGCAGAGAATTGTCTGACCCAACGTGTCAATAGAGCCAAGGCTAGGAAACCTTGGTATAAAGAGTATAAAACAGTGAGAGGGACCTGCCTGTTGGCTTAGTGGTTAAGTTCAGCAGGGTCTGCTTTGACAGTCTGGGGTTCACAGGTTCAGATCCTGGGCATGGACCTACACTATTCATCAAGCCATGCTATGAAAGTGTCCCACATACAAAATAGGGGAAGATTGGCACAGATGTTAGCTCAGGGACAATATTCCTCAAGCAAAAAGAGGAAGATTGGCACTGGATGTTAGCTCAGGGCCAATCTTCCTAACACACACACACAAATATAAAACAGTGAGATGATAAAACAAGAAGTGTGATCTAGCATTGGGGTACAAAATAGACTGGAGAGGGAAGGAGCATGTGGCAAAAAGATCTAAGTTTGAAATGGAGTTATAAAAGTGTGGCTAGAAAGGATGAGGCATGCCTTAGGTAAGAATTAAATGGAAATGACAGCTTAGACATTTGAAGAAGGAAGAATGCATGGAAAACTTTTTACTAAGCAATCTCTTCTAGGCTATGCACTAGGGATTTCAAGCTTGAAAGACTAGCGTAATGAAGACATTCCTAACAGAGTTCAAGACTGTAGGGGAAGTGAATTGGGGAAGAGTTCGTTCATTAAGATATTTATTGAAAATCTCTTTGCACTAGGCACCATTCTCGGCACTGGGAATGCAGCAGCGAACAAAGCATAGAAGGTTGCTGCTCTCGTGTAGATAGATTCTAGCCTACTGAGAAGAGACAGATGGTAAACAAAACATGGGCAAACATAATATGTCAGGTGGTGACAAATTATATTTGTTAAAGAAAATAGGGGCTGGCCCCACGGCATAGTGGTTAAGTTCGGCACCAACCCAGGTGGCCTGGGTTCGCAGGTTTGGATTCTGGGCTTGGACATACACTACACGTCAGCCTTGCTGTGGTGGCGACCCACATACAAAATAGAGGAAGATTGGCACAGATTTTAGCTCAGGGCTAATCTTCCTCAAGCAAAAAAAAAAAACCAATAAAGCAAAGGAATAGTGAATGACATGGAGATTGTGCTATTTTTGATAGACCAGTCAGTGAAGGCTACTCAGATAGGGTGACATTTAGAGCAGGGATATGAATCAGAAGAGCAAGCCATGGAGCCATCCAGAATAAGAGCATTCAGGCAAAGGGAATAGTAAATGGAGAGGTCTTAAGGTGAGAACGTGCTTGTCCTGGTGGAGTTGTGCTTGTCAAGGAGGAGATGAAATCAAGTAGTTATAAAGAGATCAGATCATGTAGGCACTTGTAGGCCATTAATTAAAAGGACTTTGGATTTTATTCTGAGATGGAAAGTCATTGGAGAGTTTTGAGCAGAAGAGAGGTTTAATCTGACTTAAAATTTTAAAATAATCACTCTGGCTGCTATGCTGGGAAAGTTCTGTGTTGGGGATGGGGGAGGGGAAGGCGTAGAGGTTAAAGGTAGAAGCAGGAAAACAAGTTTAGGAGGCTTAGCTATAAGCAGTAATCCAGGCAAGAGATATTGGTGGCTTGGACTACGATAGTAGCAGTGGAAGTGGGGAGATGTGATTGGATTCTGGATATATTTTGAAGGTAGAGCTTGACAGGATTTGTTTTTATATAGGATGTGAGATATGAGAGAAAGCGAGTTAAGGATTTTGCTAAGGTTTTTGGTCTGAACTCAGGTAGAATGGATTTGTCATTTGGTAAAGACTGGGTGAGAAGTAGGTTTCGAGTGGAGGGACAGGAATCAAGAGTTAGGTTTTAGATGTGTTAATTTTGAGATTCCCATTAGAATCCAGTTGGAAAAGTTGAGCAAGCAACTGGATATAGAAAGTTGGGATTCAGTGGAGGGATCTATGCTAGAACTTTAAAGGTGACACTTGTCAGAATATGGATGGAATTGAAAGCTATGAGACAAAAGCAGAATAACCAGAAGTGGTAGCTGAGAAGGAGTGGCCACCGGGGTAGGAAGACACTGACAGAAACATTGGATTCTCAGGTGCAGGCGAAAGTAATTTGGTTTTAAACATGTTGAGTTTGTATTGCCAGCCAGTCCTTTCTCTTACAGCATGCTGGAGGCAGCTAATGGGGTTTACAGCTTGATTTCTGAGGTCAACCCGGGGAGGCAGGGATAGAAGGTGCAGCTCACTGTACTGGCCTTTTTTTTCTTTTTTTTCTTTCAAAATTTGAAGTATCAAAACATCTTTTCAGTACATCTGAGATAGCATTCTGTTGATTTTGGCTCTTACTCTGGAGACAGAGGTTACAAAATGAAACTGTGTCAAGGAAATAGAAGCAGTGTATAGTGATTTCTTATTTACAAAATTTAGCCATTGAAGGGGATAGAGGAGTAATTTGAGGGCCTGTTGTATGCCAAGGCCCTGTGCTACATGCTTTACAGACATGATGTCGTATAATCTCAGAGTAAGTGACTAGCCCAAGGTCACAGAGCTGCTAAACTAAGAAACAGAGAAAGTAAGTAGAGTGATTCTGCTTTTTACAGTACCATACTGAGGGAACCTATTTTTAAATACAAGAGGGAATGGGCCCTTGCAGGAATGGAAGCTACAGAGTGGCTGAAGTTGCTGAATAAATGAGTTAATTGAGGGAGCAAGGGTCAGAGGGAAGCAGAAAGGGATGGGATTGAAGGCAAAAGTGGAGATAGGAGCCTTGAAAAAGAAAAGACATCTTCCTCTAAGACAGAAGGGAAGGAAAGAGTATGAGTGGACATAGATAAATTAAAAGGTTAGATGATTTTTGAGATGATTGTAATCTTGGATAAACAGAAAATAAGATCATCTTCCTGGAGAGAAGTGGGATGGAAACCTTGGAAGAGCAGTGTATTGGGAACAGCTTCTGGAGTGACTATGGAAGAGATTTCTCTCCTTTCTCTTCTTTTCCCTTCCTTTCTGCTTCCTCCTCCTACCCTGTTTCTTTTCTTCCTCTTTCTTCTTTGTTTCCTTCTGCCTTTCTTCATCATTTCTCTCTATTATTTCCCTTTACTTAGCCCCTTTCCTTTTCTTCTTTCTCTCTTCTATTTTCCCCTAAGTTCTTTTTTCCTCCTTTCTTCCTCTTTATAGCCTTCTTTTCCTTCTCTCCTTTCTTTTTTCTTTCTCTCTTTCCTTCTCCACTTCTTTGAGCATAAGACAAAGAAGTAAAACTGGCACAACCAACATACTTTAGCTGTTAAGTATGGGGGAAATCACTTCCAGCTGGGGAAGGGAAGGTTTCCCAGAGGAGGTGATGTTTATATTGACCTTGAAGAATGAGTAGGATTATGGCAGTTCATTCAAGTTTCAGAGAGCTGGGTGCCACTGCCATGAATAGTATACTTTTTTGTTTTCTGTTGTCAGAGCAAGTGTCTCAGCTATACCTCATTTACCTCAGGTCTCAGACCACGCTGAGGAACAGGAAATGTTCTTGCAGGAGATGGCACCTCTAGGAAGAGAACAAGAACCCAGTATGACCCTCCAGTGTGTGAAAGCCCAGCTAAAGTGTGAATCTCCAGAACTTGAAGCCCAACAGAAGCAAGGTAAGGAAGAAAGACCCATCTTGGGAGGAAGAAGGCAGGGCTAGCAGAGGACATGGGACTCTTTTGTACTGCATGCTGTTTCTGATCATTGAAGTCAGGAAAGTCTCTCTGGGAATCTGAGGGCTCATGCATAGACTCTCAGACAGCTTAATTTGTTACTCTTCAGTTCTTTTTTTCTCTTTATATTAATATTTTTCTAAATTTTGTCTTTCTTTTATTTGAGATCACTTAATTTAGGCCTTCTGATAGTTATTGTCCTTTGTACTGACTTCCCTGCTATTTCTAGCCTTTATCCTACCAGATAATACCACTATCTTCCCCTTTGACTTTATCCTTCCTCCTTCAGTAAATAAGCTTTGCTCCATGATGTCTGCAACTAACTCTCAGATGGTTCAGGAAAAAACAATATGTGTGTACTGTTATAAAGAGAAGGAGTAATAAAGAAAAGGTGGCAGAATGTTAAAATTCGGTGAATGGGTGAAAGACCCTGTATCTTCCTTATCTTTCTCTATATTTTTTCTTTTTCATTTAATTTTTTAAATTGGTAAAAATTCACATGGTGCAAAAACAAAAATTTAAAGTTATCAAATGAAAAGTTTTCATTCTATTCAATTCTCCCAGCCATCTTGTCTCCTCCCTGCTCTAAAATAGGTTGTTACTGTTACTAGTTTCTTGTTTGTCCTTCTAGAGATTTTTTTATGCATATACATTTTTCATATTCAAATGAATATATTTTCCTCTCTTTATCACTAAGATGGTAGAACCTTGCATTTTTTATTTCTAAACAGTGGCTTAATATTAAAATGTCTGGATGTACTACACAATTAACTAATCCTTTTCCCTGCTGATGACATTTAAGTTATCCCCAGTGTTTTATTTACTATAACAGACAGTGCTTTGGTGAATAATCATGTGTGAGTATATCTGTAGCATAAATTCCTATATGTGGAATTACTAGGTCAAAGGTTATATACATTTGTAATTTTGATAGATATTGTTAAATTGCCCTCTGTAAGGCTTGGATCGATTTACACTGCAATGTGTGATATCCATTTTGTGAATACAGTGTTATATCAAACTGATGGCAAATCTGATGGGTGAAAATAATATCTCAATATTGTTTAAATTTGCTTTTCCCTTATTTTGAGGTGGAGCATCTTATGTTTAAGAGCTATTGTATTTCCTTTCCTGGAAACCATCAATTTTTCCTTTGCCCTGTTTTCTATTGGGTTATTGGTCTTTTCCTTAACAGTTTTTGGAGTGTTTTATGTAGTAGGTCTGTCCTATATTCCAATACCATTTTATAGCCGTGCAGAAACTCTAGGTTCTTATGTATTTTTCATTTCAATAATTTTGTGTTGCCTATTGAAGTTGCTGTTTGCTATCATAAGAAATTAGTTAACATTTGTGATCCATTTGTAGTTTCAGATATTGAGACTGGAAATGAGTACAGGAATTTAACTTTAAAGCAAGAAGTTTCTGAAGAAATGGAACCATATGGGACTATATCTAGCAAATTTGAAAATGAAATGTCCCAGTCTATTAGATATGAAAAAACCTATGAATCTGAAGAAAAAACAGAAGAGCCTTCTGGACATTCTAGGGAAGATAAACAACCTATATGTGATGAAAATGGAGTAAGTTTGACTGAGAACTCAGACCTTACTGAACACCAGAGAATTTGTCCAGGAGAAAAACCTTACGAATGTGATGACTGTGGAAAAGCTTTTAGTCAGCACTCACGCCTCATAGAACATCAGAGGATCCATACTGGAGACAGGCCCTACAAATGCGAAGAATGTGGAAAAACTTTCCGTGGGAGAACTGTGCTTATTCGGCACAAAATAATACACACTGGAGAGAAACCATATAAATGTAATGAGTGTAGCAAAGCCTTTGGCCGGTGGTCAGCTCTTAATCAACATCAGAGGCTTCACACAGGAGAGAAACACTACCACTGTAATGAATGCGGCAAAGCCTTTAGCCAGAAAGCAGGCCTCTTTCACCATCTCAAAATCCACACAAGAGACAAACCATATCATTGTACTCAGTGTAATAAAAGTTTTAGTCGGCGTTCAATACTTACTCAGCATCAAGGAGTTCATACTGGGGCAAAGCCATATGAGTGCAATGAGTGTGGAAAAGCCTTTGTTTATAACTCATCCCTTGTTTCCCATCAGGAGACTCACCACAAAGAAAAATGCTATCAGTGTAAGGAATGTGGGAAATCCTTCAGTCAGAGTGGCCTTATTCAACATCAGAGAATCCACACTGGGGAGAAACCGTACAAGTGTGATGTTTGTGGAAAAGCCTTTATTCAGAGGACAAGTCTTATGGGACATCAGCGAATTCACACTGGAGAGAGACCCTATAAATGTGACAAGTGTGGGAAGGCTTTCACTCAAAGATCAGTCCTCACAGAACATCAGCGAATCCACACTGGAGAGAGGCCCTACAAGTGCGATGAGTGTGGGAATGCCTTCCGAGGAATCACCAGCCTCATTCAGCATCAGAGAATCCACACTGGGGAGAAACCCTACCAATGTGATGAATGTGGCAAAGCCTTCAGACAGAGGTCAGATCTTAGTAAACACCAGAGAATCCATAGTAGAGGTCCCTATAAATGTAAAGAGTGTGGGGAATCGTTCAGGCAGAACTCAGCTCTTATTCAACATCAGACGATCCACAAAGGAGAAAAATCTGTTTCTCTGTGATGACTACAAGGAAGCTATGTCACAGAGTGCAGGCTGGAGTAGCTTTTAAATGATTCAGGGCAAAACGTCAGTCACTCACTATTGCTATGAGAAAACCTCAGATATTTTATAAAGAATCCACTATGTGCTGACCCTTGTATTAGGTGCTGTGGAGAACAAGAAGCATAACACCAAATTCCTTTTCTTAAAGAGTTTACAATCTAGTTTGGAATATATAAGACCACATGTTTAGTTAAATAAGACTACAGGACAGTAGAATTGATGCTCAAAGTGGTGGAGAATTAAAATGGCACTTGGAAGACAGTAAGTGCTATAAATTCTGAAGGACAGATCCTTGTTGCCTAAGATGGTCAGGAGAGATTTAATTGAAGATAAGGGTTTGGTGGGCAGATTTGAAAGGCAAAAGGGAGAAAATATATAGGCTCAAACGAATGGAAGCAGAGTCGTTTGGAAATATGAGTGACAATACTAGCAAACCTAAAGTAGAGAGCTTGTTCAAACTGGGCAGTTGATGACATTAAGTTGGAAATAATTTGGGGACAAACTATGGAAGGGCTAGAATGCCAGTAATTTTACCTAATATTTTATAACACTTTGACACTTACAAAGCACTCTTCTCATTTAATTCCTAAAATATCTCGGTAAATTAAAATTATTCTCCATTTCAAAACTGAGGATACTCTTGTTTACAGAGATGGTGACATAGCTACAACATCACACAAAGGAAAAGACCAGCAACTTAGGTGCAGATCTCTGACTTCATGTCCTTTTCATTACAATAGATTCCTCAACATCAGTGGAGCTTGTTTAAAATGCCTGAGTCCCACTCACAGATATTCTGCTTCAGTAGGTCTGGGATGGGGTTGAGAATCTTCATTTTTATAGCTCTACAGTCGCCTGATGTTAACTAAAATATGAGAAACATTGCATCGAGACACAACTGCCTTTGTGGTTGCCAGCAAAGTGAGGAAACATGAACACAGTCCCATAAACAAGGGACCACTGCAGATTTTTGGCGTAAGGAAAGCCCTACATGTGGGACATATGCCACCAGCTCCTTAGAGTGAACAGGGGATTAGACCTCCATCATGCCCAAAACTAGGGCTTCAGGATGGCCTGCCCATTCCTTCAAATTTAAGTGTTTTTTTTGAAAAAAAGACTGACCTACATTCCGAGGCTCCAGGGTCTTAGTGTAAGCCCTTTGTGTGTGTATGTGTTTAGTTAGGGGAGGGGTGCTGCTGCTTTTCTCTGTTTTACTCATTAACCTCCCTTTTTTCCCAACTGGATAGTTATTATGTTCTGAATTCCCTAAAAATGGCTCTTGAGAATGGTGTACAATTTTTGGTTTGTATACCTTCTTGAGCACATAAAAGACCTAAAGATTAGTGATTCTATCCCTTGGGGCTTCTGAAAATACAAATCAACCAAAAATTGGTTGACTTTACCCCTAGATTACTCAGTAAACAATTCTGTTTTGGATGAGAACCTATGATGATTATTGTAGTGGGAAAATAGGCAAGCCACATAGATGTACACGTGGCTCCTGTTCTGTTTATCTTTTTATTTACTGAAATCATTTTAAATCTCTACTGAGATGTCCTCTTATTTCCTTCCTATCCATAATCCCTATATAGAACATAAGCATATCATCACTGGCTTGGAAAGAGAAGAGTCAGTAGTACTATAGAAATACATGTGTTCCTAGTTTTCTAAATTGTAAGTGTGAACACATTTTCCCATAAAAATGATAATAGTATTAGTCTTATAACTTAGACAAATTATTTGCCAGATCGACTATTGGGATTGGAATTTACATGACTGTGCAAGAAAACATTCTGAGTTCAAAACAGAGGAAAGCAAATGAACATTTGAAAAACACCTCATTCACCAGCTGAGAACTATTTATTTAGGCTTTTTCATAAGACCAAAATTGGAGTTGCACACACAAGGCATTGAGGCAGGTAGGATTGGAAACCTAATTTTTAACATCCAAGAAACAAACAAGGATCCCAGAGTGAGCCTGAGAGCTCTGGAGATATAAGTATGTGAGACCTAACCTTACCTTGCCTGAAATTTCTTACTCTCATGCAAACTCTTCTTATTGGAGGGGACTTTACTTAGTAACAAGAACCGATATGAGAATGTCCTCTTTACCACACTGAGGCTCTCCATACTTGGCATCAAATCTGATTTCACAGACATGTTATCCAAACTGAAGTTCCTCTAACTCCAGAGCCTCTCCCTTTAATCTGACTGCTCTCTGCAATGCAATCTTTATTTTAAACTTGCTTTCTACTCTCAGTGCCATTACTTGCAGTCTCTCCAGTTCATCCTCTGTTTAACATGTTCTCTCAATGCACACTTTTTCCTCCATTTGCCTCTGACTCTCTTAAGTACCTAATCTTATAAAGCAACCATAAACAAAGACCCAGAACAATGGGATATGCCTATTACATAGAAAGATACAGTTCATAACTTGTTTAAAAATAAATGGGGGTTTGTTCTGGTGGTTTCTTGTGCCTAAATACAGTTGTACTACCAAAAAAAGGTGGAGTGGCATGAAATTTCCAGGTAGGGATCAAAGGAGATCAAACTAGTTATCCAGGATAAGGAGAAAATATAGTAGAATAAGGTTACTTATTGGAACTAAGTTGGCAACAGAGAAGCTGAAGGCCCTGAGGGGCAAGTGGAGGACATGAGAGATGTTAGATATGGAATTGGGGAGCAGTGAACAGAGACTGTCTTGTGATGAAGTCAAGAGTACATCTTCATGTGTAAAGGATAGATGTAGTATGACAATGACAGGATCTAGGAAATTAGAGTCCTTTGAAGCAGCTTATCTACATGGATTTTGGAATCATCAACAATAACAGGATGGAAAGGAACCATATGAAGTGAGTCCAACATAGAAGTAATGGCAGTCAATAGTAGTACCACAACAGCCAGATAGAGTGATGTAAAACTCAAATGAATCATGAAGCAGTGGCTTAGAAATAACATTAAGGATGAGAATAAGTTTGGCTTCTCTTTTCTAATTGATTCAAGGTAAACAAGATGTGAATGTTTAAGGCAAAAAGCACCTGGAGGTTGGGGGAGACCCAGGTTTCTAAAATGCTGAAAAATGAAGTGAGCTTAAACTGGGCTTTGGATGAAAAAGTAACCTGACAATCAAATAGGGGTTCCAGAGAGTGCAATAGAAAGGGTCTGCGAAAGGACTGCCAATGAAGATAAAATAGTTGTATGAAGAGGTTGCTGGACTCTGAGATATGAGGTACAGCTAATGACGAAAGAGGATTGAGCAGGGCTCTGAAATGAGAAATATCTGTATGGTGAGGATGGCGGTAGAGAGCGCTAAGATACAAGCACTTAGAAAAGCTCTGCACTCCTGTACTCAGAACAGAAGTAGCCTCTTCCATTAATATCCGGTACTACTTTATTATAGAGTTGTTACAGTTAAAACAAACCCTTCATTATTGGCCATCTTTTGGAATCGAGAAAAGGATTAATTAACAATAATACATAACATTTATTACTTGCTTACTGAGGGCCGGACATTACTGAATGCTTAAATTATTTCAGTTTTAGCTAAGGAAACTGAAATCGATGAATTAAGCTACTTGAGGTCACAAAGTTAGTATGTGGTGGGGCCAAGATTTGAACCCAAGCAGCCCAGTCCCAGAGCCCACACTTCCTCTGTTTATTTCATTTGAAAGAACTGTGTGTTGCAGTGGTATTCAGTGTTTCAAGTAATTATCTGTAGAAACTTTTTAACTTCTATTACTATTCTGGAAAATACTTAAGAAACTCCAGAGTCCTAGGTCCAAACACCAAAAGTAATAATATCACCGTCCTCTCTGCCTACTAAATCTTGGATGAGGTTGGGTCAGCATACACATCAGCCCTAAGTTCTTGTTACCTGCACAATGAGGGTGTCTGCAGGAGACATTCCACTTTAAAAATGGTCTCTTTATAGGAAAGGATCCCCCTTCTAGCTTAGAACCATAATTGACAGCATTATTCTGACAGAATAAGGGATATTTGGCTGTCTTCTTTAATACAGATAATAAAGATTTAGAGAGATGCCCCCATTATGGATCTATCCACTAACCAATATGGATCTATCTTTGATGAGGGTTTTCAAAAGTGATTTTATCTCTGTAGCTAGTACCACTTCTTGGATTAAAAAAATCATAATTGTGTATTATATAAAATAGTTCTTTCAGGTGTTCCTCTTGACTCCACAGCCCAGAATTTATTTGAGCAACAAGTGCTTGTTCAATTCAGGGATAATCATTTGATAGCCTTTAATTGAATCTTCTCAACTTTCGTCTTTTCACGTTGAAAGGTCACATATCACAGCTCCTCCAGCAGTTCATCATTTTGTTAGAATTTCTTTGGATCCCCTCTCCTTCCGTACCTTTCTGGGTATAACTGGTAAGGAGTCCGTGCACATTATTTTTTATACATATAAGTATTTTTACATATATATTAATATATGTATGAATATATTTTGTATAAAATAATTGTATATAATTTTTATTTTATACATAGAATTTGATTTTATGTATATAGTTTGGTTTTGACAAAGCCAACCATAAGTATTTTGAACTTCTCAGTTAACTCCCTAGCTCACATTGTAAGACCATCGTTGAGAGCCAGCAATTCTCCCTTGATTTCATGGAAACAGTTTATTCACTTCACACGCATTATAAAAGACGGTTTCCAGGTCTGAAAACCCATCATTCAAGGCTCCCAGAGCTTTCACCCATCACAGTTGAAGGTGGTCTTTGGGGGATATATATGTTTGCTCTACCAGTCATCTTAAGTCCAGATGTCCTGGTCCTCAGTGTCCCAAGAAGGACTCCTGAGCGGAGGCCGTTTGTTACCTGATTCGTAGTTAGATCTTCATTATTCCTTTCTAGGCTTGATATGCATATCTTACTTTTTGATCTAGTGCCTCAGTTCTGCCTACTCCAGTGAAATATTCAGGAGTAACTCTCTCACCATTTCATCCCGGATAAGGAACTCGACATCTTGCTGTAGCCAAACTCTAGCTGTGTGACTTTGGGCAAGTGATTTAATCTGCTTGTGCCTCAGTTTCCTCAAAACGTAAAATGGCGATAATAATAGTACCTACCTCACTGGGCAATTAATGTGGACTACATGGGTTATACATAAAGTGCTTAGAACAGTATTGATCACATGTTAAGTGCCTTGTAGCCGTTTTCTAAGGTTTTACTACCATGGGCTCTCAAACGTGTTGGCTCTAGATGCTCCAGCCCAGGCCCTAAACTACCTGTGAGCATGCTGCAAGCTCCCCAGGACTGCTGCATACTCCGCCCCGCCCTGGGATTAAAGCTCCCACCTAGGTCTACTTGTACTTTCTTACCTTGGGAACTGATAAACAGTGTCCGGCAGGGGACAAATATCGCCTAAACTGGCAGGAGAGATTCCCCATCTTTTGGCTCCGCCCCTGTTAGTTATCAGAGATAACTAGTAGCTCAGGGTTTTCGCTTTTTGTCTTTTGAGTGGCTCTTCTGATGTTCTGCAGTTGGAAGAAGACCCCGGGCGGGACCTGCAGCGCCCCGGCCTCAGAGTTTAGGCCCCTGAAGTTACCTGACGGCGCAGCCCGAGCCGGCGCCGTTCAGCGGGGGCGGGGATACTGTCAGGCGACCACAGAGAGGAGAAACCCTCCAGATTCCTAGAGAACACCGAACGGTGAGGCGGCTGGTGATAGTGCAGGCTTAAAACTGCGAGCTCTTACAGTCGTTGTGGCGTGCGTGTGGAGGCGGTTGTTGTGGGTTCGTGGCATCCGGGTTCGACTCTGTGTCTGATCCGGCCCATCAGAACTCCGGTGAGGTTGGGTCTGATGATTGGGAGTTACGGGGGAAAGTTCAGGAGGGCTTCCAAGTTTTGAGCTGTGTTAAGATACTGGGGTTGTTGAGAAAAAGAAGAAAGTCTGAGATCTTGGTTTGGTAAAAGGAAGGTTGGGTTCTTTTGCGGAGATGATCTGACTCATGACTCTCCCTAGAGCAGATGGGACGACGCTTGAGTGCAAGGAAAAGACATAGATCTAATTACTGATTATACGACCTTGAGCAAATTACTTAATCTCTCGGTGCCTCCGTATAAGTCATCTGTCAGTGGAATTGTATAGTATCTACTTAAATGAGTAAATTCGTAGTCAATTTTAAACAAATATTAGCTGTTGTTATTTTCTCATTTCTGATGTCCTTTTTTTTTTTAATCTGGTGAGGGAGATTGGCCCTGAGCTAACACCTGTTGCCAATCTTCCTCTTTTTGCTTGAGGAAGAGTGGCCCTGAGCCAACATCTGTGGCCATCTTCCTCTATTATGTATGCGGGACGCTGCCACAGCACGGCTTAATGAGTGGTATAGGTCTGCTCCTAGGATCAGTATCCGGGAACCCAGACCTCCGAAGTGGAGCCCACTGAACTTAACCACTATGCCACTGGGCTAGCCCCCTCTGATGTTCTTTTCTTTACCCTTTATTTGGGATTCTCTGAAGGAGAGAACCAAAGGAAAGAGGGTCATGGTCTTTCAAGCTTTATTAACATAAACATTTAGGAAGTAAGAGATTTTAGCAGGTGTTGCCAGCTAATAATTTGCAAAGTCACTCCCACTCCTAATTTATTTAGCTTCCTGACAGTTCCTTTTTCTTTAAGTGCATTGTCCAGGTAAGTGAGTTCTTGGGTAAAAGAGCTTAACAAAATTTAGAGTTTCTTTTAACAGTTTTATTTTGTGCCTTAGGAAGAAGACTAGCTACAGGGAAATACTTCTGAAAAATCAGTGTGAACCCCAAGCTGGAGTGAATCTTCTCCTCAGCTCTCTCATTCCAGAATGGCAGTCCTCTTGCAGGAAAGCTCTCTAATAGTGACTGATGGTACAGGAACAGGGATGTGCTGTGCCAAGAATCAGGCTGGCAAAGAAATCACAGACCTTTCTTCAAACTTTAAGTTGTTACTATCAGGAGATAAAGATCTGGACCTCACAGGGCTGTCAGAAGACTCAGGAAGCTCTGCCCACAATTTCTGAGACTAGAAATACAGACCAAGGAGCAGATGTTGAAGCAGGTCCTGACCCTGCCTGGAGAACTGCAGACCTAGGTAGGATAATATCATCTAGAATGTGGAGAAGAGGCATCGGTCATGCTGGAGAAGTTGAAGAGACAGCTTGAAGGACACACCATCAGGTGGGAAGGGTTGGGAAGATAACTTATGGCTTGACTAGTGAAAGGCTTCCGGAATAGCACAGAAAACAGCAAAACGTGACTTTAGGATCCCTCAGATATCTCTGGAGCCATAACCCAGTGTCTCTGCTGTGGGCTTTAATTCCCCCTGGTATTCATGTGCACGTATGGAACCTTCTCTTTCTCTATTGGGTTTTTGGGGAAAGTTTAGCTTTAAAATCAGTTCAAGACCAGCTTCATCCCATTGCCTTTAGGGCCAAGGCTGAAGAAAAGAACAAGCTATGCCTATGACAGAGATAGTACCTTGGAATCAAAGGTTTCGGGTCCAGCCTGTTAAGACCGTATCTTAGTTTAACTCTCAGCATTATTGCCTTTGAAGCAGAAAGCTGATGAGAAAGGATTTCTGCAGAGAAAGGAGAGATTCTCGAAAGGAAGCTTTTTAGAACTCTTGTTAATAGTGTTCTCTCCCTTGAAACCTTGCCCCTACCAATCTGTTTCTCATTATCTACCCAATTCTTATTTATTTATTTTGCTGGGAAAGATTCACCCTAAGCTAACATGTGTTACCAATCTTCCTCTTTTTTCTCCCTCCTCCTCAAAGCCCCACTACATAGTTGTATATTTTAGTTGTAAGTACTTCTAGTTCTATGTGAGCCACTGCCACAGCATGGCTACTGACAGACGAGTGGTGTGGTTCCACGACTGGGAACTGAACCCAGGCTGCCAAGTGGAGCACACTGAATTTTAACCACTAAGCCATGAGGGCTTGCTGTGCCCAATTCTTCAGGTAGAAACTCTCAGCCGTATTTGCCAGGGGCGTTGTGTTTTGTTTTGTTGTTATTTTGTTTTGACCTGTCCAACTCCTTTAGCTTCAAGTACTGATTTCTTCTTATGTTTTAGTCCTGAACATTATTGGGAAAGTTATTTTCCCCACTGCAATTTTTCCAGTTTACTGATTTCCCACATCAAAATAGTATATGTATTTTGATACTGGTCTTACTATCACTTCAAGATAACCTTTATCATATCCTGTTGTTTATTGATCCACTCAACAAATATTCATGGAGCATTTTGTCTATAGGAGTGGCCTAGGTACATTTCACTTGGTGTAAATGGTCCTTTTAACTAGCCTTTGCAAATTAAACTTCCTCTTGGTTTCATAATATTCCCTGTTTTTCATCTCTGGATTCAAACTGATCTTCTCTTAACTTTTTTTTATTATACCTTCCTGATTCTTTTATTGTCACATTTTGTGAGAAAATCCTGCATGCTATTCCAATCTCCTTCTGCCCAGTTATCTCCTCACTCAAACTGGAACCTCACATGCCTTCTTTGACACTTTATAAACTTGAGATGGCGGTTTTAAGACGTGGAAAAGGCATACTCTTTAGGTAAAACTGGGTTTTGTTTTTGTCAGTGTTCCTCAACTAAAGTCTCATTATCTCAGCAGAAGATACAACTGACATTTGAATTGTCTATGCATTTTTTTTAGATGATGTTACTGAGAATGAAAATAAGGACTTGTCTCCAACACAAAAAAACTGTGAAGATGCGAAATCATGTTGGGGGATCTCTATAGAACTGCATTATCAATGCAATAAGTGTAGTAAAAACTTTACTTACTGGTGAGTCATTACTCAGCATTAGGGAGTCCACATGGAAGAGAATCTCTCTGAGAGCAACAAGTTTGGAAAGGCTTTTGTTTATAACGGATCCCTCTTTTGCCACCAGCAGATCACCACAAGGAAAAATGCTTATCAGTATAAGGAATGTGGGAAAGCTTTCAGCTATAGTGGCCTTTTTTGACATCAGAGAATCCACATAAGCCAGAGACTGCATAAATGTGGTGACTGTGAGGAGGCCTTCATTCAGCATGGAAATCTTGTAGAACATTATGTGAAGGAAATAGGAAGGCCACCCAGAAGTCAGGACTGACTGTGCACCAGAGCATCTACAGAGGAGAGAGATCTTATAAACATGATGAATGTGGAAATACTTTCCGTGGAATCACCAGCTTTGTTCAGCATTGGAGAATTCACACTCAAGAGAACCCTGACAGTGTGATGTGTATGGAAAATTCTTCAGATAAGAGTTTGGATCTTGGTAAACATCAGCAAATCCATATTAGAGAGGCTCTTATAAATGAGAGGATTGTGGGAAGTTATATAGATAGAGATCAAGCCTCACCTACAGTCTCTCCACAGTATTGGAAAATTAATATAATTAATGTAAATGGGCAGTTGTATGGTGAAGAAGTATTCTAAATTGCCCATTTTAGCCAGTAAAAATATTCAATGAGTGTCTCAGGTCAAGAAAAGGAAAGGTCAGAAGTTTTTTCGATTCCTAGAGGAGTCTATATATGTAAGCAACCAGGACTTTTGAAATAAACTCTTTCTCTGCACCCCTGGACTTGTGATCCTGTCTCCTGGATGATTATCTGTGTATTGAAGATATGTTATTTCCCCATGCCTGCTCTAATCTCATATCTTAAATTCATTCAACAAATGTAGACTGTAGTAATATTGTCTTACTGTGTTATAAATATATTTTATTGATGGGCTAAATAGGCATGTATGAGTACTCTGGGACTCAAAAATCACATTTATATGGTTTCAGTAAATGTAAAGAAAGGAACCACATCGTTGAATTGTTGGATACTTTCCCAGATTTGGGACTGCCTCTGTGTTCTCCAACACAAGGCTATATACGTGTCCTTCAGAGAATATATATTTTCCAGCTTTGGTCTGATTATTTTTTTAAGACAGAAAAAGATACTTCAAATATAACCTATTGACAGATAATGCTAGAGATATTTTCCCTTATAGATAACACAGAATATAATCTTGTGAAGGCTGGTACTTTAAGTGACTTGCTTGTTATCCTTTTCAGTTCTAAAACCTACAGGCTAGAAGAGGAAAGAATCTTTAGAAGCCCTGCGGTAAGTTGGTAATACAGCCCAATCTCTAGGAGAATAAAGCTTACATATTTTATAGTAGCTCACTAAATACAGGAACACAGATTTCAGAACTTTGCAATGATTCTTTGGATCTGCTGTGCATCATTAGATTCTTTTGACAAGGTATTATAGTCCCTATTTTAAAAGATGGACTGCATTTTCTAGAGGGTGTTTTCAGCATCTATGGAAATCACGTTTCTTTTCCTTAACGTTGTTATTGCCTTGCATTATTTGAAAATGTTTCTTAATACTGAGCCAACTTTGCATTCCTGGAATTAATCCCATTTAGTCATGATGTTTTGTTAATGAGTTCTACTTGCTATTTTATTTAGTACATTTTTCTTCAATATTTATGTAAAATTGGTCCAATTTTCTTTTTTTGTACTATATTTTTCAGGTTTAGGTTTCAGTATTTTATTTGCATCATAAAAAGAGTTAAATTCTTGTTCATTTTTAATGATTGTTCATATAGGCTTGGAATTAGCTGGTCTTTGAAGGTTGAATTCTGACATAAAACCTGGGCTGAGTGCTTTTTTGTGGAATAATTCCTGGGTAACTTTCTCTCTTTCTTTTACAGAAATGGTCTATTAAGCCTTTCTATTTATAAGGGGGTCAATTTTGATATTCTGTTATATTCCTAGAAAATTATCATCTAGATTTTCAAATTATTATTTCACCTAGATTTTCAAATTACTTCCCTAGAATCTGTAATATAATCTATTATGACTTTTTAAAAAGCTTTATTGAGGGAAATTGATATCCAGTAAACTGCTAAGTGTACAATTGTACATGATAAGTTTTAACATGTGCACAGCTGTGAAATAATCACTACAAAATAATGCACATCTCTATCACCCCAAAAGGTTTCCCCATGTCCCTTGATAATTCCTCCCTCCCACCCTTCCCTGCACACTGCCCCCATATCCAACCTCTGCTCTGCTTTCTGTTGCTATAAATTTAGTTTGCATTTTCTAGAATTGTGTATGAATGGAACCATACAGTATGTTCTATTTTTGGTCTGACTTCTTTCATTCAGCATAGTTATTTTGAGATTCATCCATGTTGCATGCATCAATAATTCATTCTTTCTATTGTTGAGTAGTATTCTATTGGGTGGATATACCACAATTTGCTTATGCTTTTACCTGTTGATGGACATTTGGATTATTTCCATTTGGGGGCTGTTAAAAATGAAGTTGGTATGAACATTTGTGTACAAGTCTTTGTATGGACATATGTGTTCATTTCTCTTCAGTAAATACCTTGGAGCAGGATGGTCGGATATAGATGATAAGAATATTTTTAACTTTTAAAGAAACTGTCAGATTGTTTTCCAGTGTTTGTTCTCTTTTACTTCCTCACCAGCAGTGTATGAGAGTTCCATCACTCTACGTTCTTGCTAACCCTTAATATGGTCAGTCTTTTTCATTTTAAACATATAATAGGTTGTGCAGTGGTATCTTATTGTAATTTTAATTTACATTTCCTAGTGGTTAATGATATTGAGCATCTTTTCATGGGATTATTTGCTATCCCCATCAGCCTCTGCTGAAGTATCCGTTGAAATTTTTGCCCATTGTTTTCTTGGGTGGTTTGTTATTCTGGATGCTAGTCCTTTATCAGTGCAGTGATTTGTGAATATTGCTTCCAGTTTGTGGATTGTCTTCATTCTATTAACAGTGTCTTTTGGAGAGCAGAGTTTTAAATGTTGATTAAGTCCAATTTATCTTTTGTTCTTTTTTTTTAAAGATTGGCATGTGAGCTAACATCTGTTGCCAATCATTTTTTCTCCTTTTTCTCTTCAAAGCCCCCCAATACACAGTTGTGTATTCTAGTTGTGAGTGCCTCTGGTTGTACTATGTGGGACACCGCCTCAGCATGGCCTGACGAGCAGTGCCATGTCTGCGCCCAAGATCTGAACCGGTGAAACCCTGTGCCGCTGAAGTGGAACACATGAACTTAACCACTTGGCCTCGGGGCTGGCCCCCCTTTTTTTTTCTTTTTGGTCATATTTTTGGTGATATTGCTAAGAAATCTTTGCCTAACCCAAAGTCACAAAAACTTTATTCTACGATCACTTTTAGGTGCTTTATGGTTTTTAGTTTTTTCTCTACTGAATTGCCTTTGAACGTTTGTTGAAAATCACTTTTTCATATTCATGGGAGTATTTCTGGATGTTCCATTCTGTGCAAATGATTTGTCTACCTTTACACTAATACCATTCTCTTTCGATTACCAGACCTTTATAATAATTCTTGAAATCAAATAGCATTAGCCCTCCAACTTTTTCAAAGTTATTTTGGTTATTGTAGGTCATTTCCATTTCCATGTGAATTTTGGAAACTGCTTGTGAATTTCTACAAAAAGTCTCCTGGGATTTTATTTTGGATTGCCTTGAATCTATAGATCAATTTAGGGAGAATTGACATCCTAAGAATACTGAGTATTCTAACACATGAATGTGGTACATTTCTCTACTTTAGATCTTTTGAATTTATCTCAGCAGTGTTCACTGTACAAGGAATACAGTCAGGTCTTAATTTATGAGCTTAATTGAAAATCTTTTAATAGGTAAGTTAAGTCCATTCACATTTATTGATATGATTGATCTATTTGGTCCCAACTCTCAATTTATTTTGTAATTTTTTGTGTGTATTATGTCATATTTGCTACATTTATTTCTTGTGTATTTTTTGCTCTTTTCCTTTAAAAATATTCTTGGTATTTAGGAAAATTTGTGGTTTTATTAAATGGTAACATTTGTACTTATACATTTTTAATGCCCTTAGTCACTTATTTTCTTATCTAGCCTTTTACTATTGGTTTTGTCGGTTTCTGTTTCTTTTATGTCCAATCCATTGCCTGTGCAATAATAGTCACTGAGCTTATTCTACTGTGTCCCTTCTCCCATTTTTATGTTGCATTATTTCTACGTTGTTACAACATACAATGTTTACATATTTGTCTTCAACTCTTATTGCCACTCTTGTTTTAATTTTAGATCTACAATAAAGTATACTAAAATTTATCCATCAATAATTTTGGAGTTTTCCAAGTCACATGATTGAATAAAGCTTGTTCTCCAGTTGACTCCTCAAGGACTCATGAGTACTGAAATCCCTAAGTTCTTACACGTCTCAAAATATTTTTCTAGTCTTGATACTTGAAGGACAACTGAATATTAAATTGTTGTGTCACACTATTATTGAATTTTTTAAAAATAATATTCCATTATAGTTTCCTTTTGTGTGATGTTTTTGAGAAAATGGATACCAGTCTAATAGATTTAGTCCTTTTAAGTTATTTAATGTTTTTCCTTAGAGGTCTGGAGAACATTTTTCTTTGTCTTTAAAGTCAAACAGATTTTCTCACATGTATCTCTGAGTTGCTTGTTCCAGGGTAATTTTCCCGAGTATCCATTGAGGCTTTTCTATATTCAGATCTTCTTTTCATTGTTTTAACTCTCTAAAGTGTTCTTGGATTATGGTTTTAAATATTAATTTTGTTTCAGTGTTCTCATCTCCCAGTATATTTTTCCAAGTTTTCACAACTAGGGTAGACTTCCTCCTTCTGTTGGTAGTTTTATAGCAATTTTTAGGCTCACTGCTAGCTCCCCTCTTCTCTCTTCTATGACTTTTTCTCAGACTGTCCTTTCTCACCACAGAGGTTTGCCATAGGAAGATTTTGGTGTTTTGTCATTTTGTGCTTCCAGGTAATTTCAAGTTTAGGTATTTTTTGTCTTCTGGTAGTCTTGAGGGCATAGTTTTTCTATAATTTTATTTGTTTTTCTTGTTCTATATTATTTTGGGAGGTTATGTTTGGAGACACAGATTTAAGCAGTTGCCATTATCCTCCATCAGTAGGTTTTCTAAAAAATAGAAGCATTTAGAACAGAAAGTATCAGAATTCTCATACTAAGGATAAGTATCGTTTTGTGATATTTTTGTTTCAGTATTATATATTTGTGTGTGTAACTATGTCATTTGTAAAGTGTATTCATTTTTATAGGTCATATTCAAAATAGTTTAAAGAGCATTGTACAAGATCATTTCCCAGGCCCCTTTCAACTTGTACTGTCAAGGGTTCTGAACCCTCACTCTTTACAGACTTTTTATTGTTCAGTTTCCCTCTATCATATGTGTCCCAAACAAGCACTGTTTTGTCAGTCAAGTTTGATGGGAGTACATTGTGCTGAATCAGGCATTTGTTAAATGCAAAAGCCAAGTCGGAAAAACGTTCAGGGAACTTACTAACTGGGAGGAAACAACTTTATAATAAGTTATACCTCAAGAATACCTATGGAATACCTATGGAACATAACTCATGTGAAAATGACCCTCTTTTCCTCACTCCCTACAACCCTTCATGATAGAATTTTCTTCACTGGTCTGTAGGGACTGAAAGAAACCCATGATTTGGAGCCCTGACACTTTAATAGTTTCGTTCTACTGCATTTACCCTACAAAGTAGAATAACGATGTCCCATCATAAGAGCCTTCCCTTGTTTGGCAGAAGGCCAGTGATCCATGGGCAATGGTGCCAGCCATAACAAAGGAGGTAGAGAGTGGTAATACATCATTAGACTTCATGCTAAGAATGAAGTAACTTAGATTTCATATGGACTGCTAGATTTTGAAAGGTCAGGAAAAAACGACTGCTTGGACTGCCTGGGTGGTAGAGGAGTGGCCATGAGATGCAGATGGGAGAAGACTATAGGAAGTAGGTCTTTGATAAGTGTTTTTAAATTTCATATCTTAAATAGGCTTGGTTTAAATCAGTATTTCTCAACAAGGGGTGTTTTTTGTCCCCCAGGAGACATTTGACCATGTCAGGAGACTTTGGTTTTCACAGTTAGCATGGGAAGGGGTACAGAGGGAGGAAGGAGCTACTGGCGTCTAGTGGGTAGAGGCCAAGGATGCTGCTATACACATTACAATGGACAGGATAGCCTCACAACAAAATCATTCAGCCCAAAATGTCAATAGTGCTGAAGTTGAGAGACCCTTGTTAAAAATGAAGGATACTGACAAGGAATGGGAGTAGGAATGAAATACATGTTTTCTTGGTTGAAATTCCATTACATTTCTAGGTTAGCTTTTCAAATGTGCTATCTGATCTGTGGGCTGCATTCTTTTGACCAGGAAATAAAAGGCCAAGAGTGTCATCCTTTGATTCAAGTCCCCATCCTGTTATTAAATTTAATACCCCACAAAGGTTTCCTGTGGGAAGTTGGTTTTCTTAATCGGGTAGATTAAAAAAAAAAGATCAACAGTTCTGACCACTCATGCTTCCTAGAGCTCAGACATTTCCTTTGGATCTTGGAGGTGCCTTGGTAGCAGAGGGAGCCCCATGTTGCCCTCTTTTGGCAACAGCTGCCTGTGTGCATTAGTGCCAGCCCTAACAGGTGCATCTGGAAGTACCTTTTATTTCTCAGATCCTCAGTCTGCCTTTACCTTGCTGGTGGACTGAACTTAGTGTTTCTCTGAGCACACCACTGGGCACTGATCATTTCAAGTGGCCTGGATGCCTGAATCCACTTCTGGATACTGACAGTACAGGTCAGTTTCTTCAGACGCCTCCTGCCCTGGTGCTGCTTTCTGAAGTTAGACACTGACTCTCTGTACTCAGATTACTCTTTCAGTATGTGCCAGTGGACAAGAATGTCAGAACTCTTCCTTCAATATACATTTCCTAAGTAACCTCAGTTCATATATCAAGTAAATATTTGCTAGTGACCCTGGGTACAGTTAGAATGTAAAAACAATTTAAAACATAGGGAGTGAAACACTCACAATTTCAGTTTTTTTCTTATATCTAGGAGCTGTCTGTAAGCATATTCTTGTAGGAACAGATAGCTTCATTTTCATTCAGATTTGCTGTTTATATAATCAGAACAGGAAAGAACGCCAAGGATAAGGGCAAGAGACACTTATGTGTAAGAGAAGCCCACTCCTTCTCACTCTTACCACATAGCATTCCTCTTTCAACTGAGCCCTGAGCCGTGAGTTTAGAAACAGAAACTCGGACACGTTTCCAGAGACCACCAGGCTGGTCAGTGCTCAAAGGTAGGACGGATGAGTGTCAGGCCAGTAGAGGTAAGGCACATTTTTCTTCAACAAATACAAAGTGTTAATTGTGCCAGGTCCTGTCTCTAGTTGCTATATATATATAAAAAGTCTGGTAATGTCAGCAAAGAACCCTATAAGGAAAATATCTGAATTTTATAGATAGAATTGAGTCCACGCTCATAACCACCAGTAGATAGAACTGAGTCCACGCTCATAACCACTACCAATACTGGAGATCGGCCTGTAGGCAGATAAGGCGATCAAAGTGCCTCCTTCAGCAAGGAAATGGAAATCCAGGTTGGAGAGCGGGTCCATTCCGTCTGTGAGCCCCATCCAGCCAAGGCTCTTCAGTCTTCTCAAGAGCAACCACGGCGTTTGGGGATCCTAGAGTGGACCCGGAAGTGCATCCGGGATGAGAGAAGCGCCAGTACCCGCGGGAGTCGAATTTGTGAAAACCTCGAGCTTCAGTGGTTTGCGGCGCAAGGGATCAGAGTGTCCGGTGAGGATGGTTGGAGGCCACTGTTGCGCTCCTCCCCTCGGAGTCATCCTCGAGACCCCAGGTAGGGCTCTGATTAGGACCGGCTGGGACGCGGAGGAAGGGGCTGCGGAACAGGGTTCTCTGAGCGGAGAAGCCTCCCTCCCATTCCTTCTCCCCCTGCCTCTTCCCAAATGCGTCTGCAGCAAAATCGGCCCAGACAGGCGACTGGGCGTGGTGGGTCGGATCTTTCTGGGTTGGGATGCTGAGGCAAAGGGCCTTTGAAAAGTTTTGATCATGGGCTGGAGAACCTGGGTCCTGTTCTATGGCCAGCTCGACTCACTTCTCTGAGGGGACTCAGATGTCACCTCAGTGAGGCATGTCTTTACTACCGTATTTAAAATTGCCATATACACCTTCAGCATCTTTCCCCTGTCTACTTCTATAGCTCTCATCGCCCCACTATAAATTTACATATTTTCTTTGTCCAATATTTATTGTTTCAACAGAGGTTTATTGTCTCTATCGCCAACTCACCCCGACCCTAACATTAGTATAAGCTCCTCAAGGGCAGAGATTTGTGTCGGTTTTAACTCATGAGTAATAAATGTGAAGTGCCCAGAATTGTGACTGGCACGAGTTAAGAACTATACGTGTTTGCCATTAGTGTATTGTTCACTGCAGCATCCTAAGGAACTAAAATAGGACTGACACTTAGTAGGAACTCAGTGTTTCTTGAATGAATGAGGTTCTTGCAAGAGCCTTGTGACAAAGGAAGGAAACAGATTTTCTGTGATTAACTAAGCTGTATAATAAATGCTCTGAGCAGAGCATGAGAAGCCCCGGTGATACAAAGATTGCTGGCAGAGAGAGTTTCTAGAGTAATAGGAAAGAAAGGATAGCTAAATTAGAAAAAGAAAAAGAAAAGGCATCATAGGTTACATAGGAAATAACTACGTGGCTAGCAGTGACAGAAAGTGCTATTTCTGTAATCACTTTTGATTCTTGCCAGTAGGCACTCTGGGTAATTTTACAATTCTAATTGATACCCAGTATCCAACTTCAGCACCGCAAACGTCAGTGGCCAAATGAATTTAGGTTACTTTGGATGTTTCAATGAATGTGGAACCAAAACCCACATCTCAGACTTTCAAGGAGTGAAAAAGAAGCACTCTGTTCCCTTGAAATATACAGGTATAAATTAAAATGTGAAATGAACTAAAAGGAAAATTAAGTGCTTTTAATCACATTGAGAAAGCTGCGATATACATACTTCACTCTTACCTAGGTTGTTTTTGTTTTTTGGTTGGTTTTGTGTTGTTTTTGTATGGGTGGTTGGGACTTACTTGGATATGGGATGTGGGATATTTGCTATTTGACAGGGAATGAGATAGATGGGATTAACAATTTCTATTTATTGACATTTCAGCAATTCAGTTTTCATGCTCTTCAAATTTTTACAATCTTGTTCACCAAAGGTGGAATTCCACATACTACAGTCCTTAATCCCTTGTTTCTTTTGAGGAACACATCTTTTAGAAATGGAAGAAAGCATTAATTATACAGGATTATTGCTAGGACATAGCCTTTTCTATTCACAGGAATAAAATCTAGTTACGCTGGGACAGCCACTGAGTAACTTGAGAGTTTAAAAAAAATTATACCAATTGTATATATTCAAATAAGGATAACTTATACTTTATCCCAAGATTCAGCCAATTATTTATATCGTCCAAAATTTGCTATTTTCAAAATTGTATTTATTTGGGGGTTTGGATATCAATGTGTTTTACTTTATATCTCTATATGGGTAAAACCTCTCCTAAAAGATGGCATTCAGGTGGGAAGGCATATCCTTGTTGGTGCCCCTTTTGGTCTTGTTTATTCTGTGTCTCCGTAAGTTGACTGTACATGTACACATAACTCATACTTTGGAGCATCCTTTATGGATGTTCCTCTTAGATTTATTCATTGTCTTTCAGTTTTATGGTGATAAAACTTCACATGCATAAATTTTTAAAAAATTCTAATTCCCTCAAATTAGACACGTGTTAGGTCCAGGAGGCCAGCACTCAGAAAGACCACCATTTAGCTTCTGCCCTACTTTTACGCCTTGAGGAACAGTCACCTTGCTCGTTTAGTGCCCTTTTTACCCTCCTTTTCACCTTTACTCCCTCCTCCATCTAGTTGTTCCTAAATGATAGTCCTCACTGCAGACCATAACTGCTTTTATCCTTTCAGCTAATTGGTCTGAGATAGTGAAAGGCATATGAATTTTGGAGTTAGAGACCTACATTTAAATCAGAAACTTCAGTTTACCCCCTTTTTTCTCTTGCGTATGTCACCGAACTATTTTGAACTTCAGTTTCCTTTTTTGTAAACAGGGATTATAATCCAAAATTGGTCACCTATAGGAATTGAATCATAAATATAAGCACCTACCCAGCACAGTGACTAGCAAATAGAGTATATTCAATTAATGTTAGTACCTGTCTCTTCATCTACTTTCCTTCCCATTAGACATCTAACAGTGCCCAACCTTTACCAATGACCATTTCTTTACATGATTACCTAAAGGCCACCTGAGTCAAGTCCAACTTTGGCTCACTACTCTCTAAAAAAACCCAAACTTTTCAGATTCACCCTTTGAGTAGGTTGGATTACAGCCCCTGTTAGTGATCACTTAGGAACTAGAAACTCCTCCCACATAACAGAGCATATCCAATGGACCTTGCCCTGTAAGCAATAGATAGAGATGTTTTTTGAAGACTTTGGCAGATCCCTATAAATTAATCACAAAGCAGACCCTTAGGATTTTAGAGCAAACCCATGCCATTCTCTGCAGATTATTACTCTCCTTTTGAGAGAAACAGCTTTTGGCTTGCCACTGGACCTTAGTAGAGAATAAATTCTTGGTCATGGACCACTAAGTTATCATGTGACCTGATCTGCCCATCATGAATTGAATGTTGTCTGATATGCCAAGCCATAAAACTGGGCATGCACAGCAGCACTTCCTTATTAAATGGAAGTGGTATATATACGATCAGGCTTGAGCAGGCCCTGACAACACATATAAGTTGCATGAGGAAGTGAGCCAAGTACCCAAGGCCTCTACTCCTCCTACAGTACCTCCTCTCTATCTACCTGAGCTTATGGCCTCATGGGGAATTCTCTATGACCAGTTGACTGAGGAAGAAAAAAAACTAGGGCCTAGTTTACAGATGATTCTGTATGTCATGCAGGCAACATCCAAAAGTGGACAGCTGCAGCACTTGAGCCCCACTCTGCGACAGCCCTGAAAGACAGTGACAAAGTGAAATCCCCCCAGGGGACAGAACTTTGAGGACTGTACCTGGTTGTTCATTTTGCTTAGAAGAAGAGATGGCCAGAAGTATGTGTCCATAACTCTTCATGAGCTATGGCCATTGATTTGGCTGAATGATCAAGGACTTGGAAGGAACACGATTGGAAGATTGGAGATAAGGAGGGCTGGGGAAAAGTGTGTGACTAGACCTCTCCTAATGAGCACAGAAGCAGAAGATACGTTTGTACCATTGAATGTTTACCAAAGGGTGACTTCAGCAGAGGAGGATTTTAATAATTAGGTGATTAGGATGAGCTGTTCTGTGGCTATCAGTCAGCCTTTCCCTAGGCACTCCTGCCATTATTTAATGGGATCATGAACAAAGTGGCCATGGATGCAGGGATTGAGGTTATGCAAGGGCTTACTTCCACTCACCAAGGTCAACCTAGTGATAAATAAACGAAAAGCGGTAAGATATATTGGAGCATATAAGGAAGCCATTTGGTTTAAACCAATTCGGCCTGACCTTGTTTTTCCAGAAGGGCCTGACATGGCCTGCTGAGCATGCATTGTACATCTGCTTTAAACATTTACTATGTTCCAAAGATGAGAATGATGCCCTTAAGGATGGGGATGTAACTTCCCCCCATATTGGCATTTCTTTAAGGATAAGCATCTCTTCTTGGAAACTAAGGATTAATTACCGACCTCCTGTGCTCACCTGGTGACCACTGACCTGCTGACCACTGACTGCTGTGCCAGCATCTCATGACAGTAGTAAGAGAGATATTCCTGTCACACATGATGTATGCTCTTTGTTCCAAGATGGTATATACCACTCTGTACACCCCACTTCTTTGGTGCCCCAGGCTATAGTCCTCAAACCTGGCTCATGATAAACTCACCCCAATTTTGATTTATAGATTAATTATGGATTATTTGCATCAATGCTAGTTAGAGCCACTGCTCAGTTTCCAGTCTGTCAACAGCAGAAACCAACACTGAACTCCCAACATGCACCATTTCTTGGGGGTCATCAGCCAGCTACCTGGCTACATTGATTACATTGGATCACTTCCATCATGGAAGAGGAAGTACTTTGTTCTTACTGGAATAGACACTTATTCAGGATATGGATTTGCATTCCTGGTCCACAGTGTTTCTGCCAAAACTGCCTCCTGTTTTTGCCTTCTGCCTTATTCAGCATCATGGTGATACCGGCTCAATGTGAGTTTGGCATAAGGGAAGCCATACTGTAGAAAGGAAGCCATATTGTAACTATGGATAACCTCTAAGTAACTAGCCCAGCTGGACATACTCTGGCTTGCACATAGGCTGATAACAAATAACCAAATCATAAAGAAAACTGCATGCATCATGATTTATGACCCCTGCTTAGCTATATACCTCCTAGCTGCCATGAGATGATAACTTTGTTCTTTTGAGTTCCTTAGAAATGTGATGATCCAGGACAGGAATTCTCTACTAGCATCCATCATCAATGAAAGCTGAAAGGTCTAGTGTAGCGACCCCTAGTCTACAGTGCCAGATGGTCAACATTCCTGACCCCCTTCTCTACAGCCCACTATCCCTATGTAACTGCTTCAAGAGTCTATATTCTCCTCGAGATGGTTCTTTAGGACATAAGTCCACCATCTTCCAATTAGCTAGCTCATTGCTTAATAAAAGTCCTTTGCGCAGTAACAATGGTATTCCACATAGCATCACTTCTGACCAGAGAGCTCATTTCGCAGCAAATGAAATGGGCAATGGACTCA